CTTCCCAAAATTCACTGATAATATTTGCTGACATACGATATATGTGATAGGAAAAAGAGTACACTATCAAATTAAATATTTTTTCAAATTCAAATCTTTAGCATTTTCCTTATTCAAAATAATTTTACATTCTATTTATTTCATTCAATAATTTTTTCGCTTCTTTAATGATTCAAGAAATTTGATAAAATGATGAAACCTTCATAAGTTCGATGCAGAATGGTGCATCTTTCATGCATCGATTCACTTCTTGTCGCCTAAAAATGAAAATTATTTTCAAATTCCTGAGATTTTATGCCAAACTTTAAAAATATACTTGAGCTTTGGTAAAAATGCAAAAAAGTTGTTAGTGTAAGATGATTTAGGTAAGTAATAAGATAACATAAGTGATAAAGTAGATGATCACAAAATATTCGTAAATAAAAGGGTTGTGCAATATGAATACACCTGTTGGGTGGACGACTGGTACCATAGCCAGGTGGATCAATGCAGACTATCGAACAAAACAAAGGATTAAAAGCTTTCAGCACTTTTCCCGGAAAGTCTTTTTTATAGCAACCTAAAATTGCTTGTTGTTTTTTTTTTGCTTTATTTTAAAAGTTTGCAAATTATACATTTTTCTTTTGCACTCATTTTAATTATCAATTTCAATGTTTTTAATAATTACAAAAAGTCCCTTTACTTCTCCATTTTTCAATTTATTAATTTAAACTTCTTCAGCAATTTTAAAATTTATTTCTCAAATTAAGCTTAAATTCACCATTTAGTTAAAGCTTAGCTAAAGCTAAAGCTCATAATTACGATTTTTTTTTTAAAATGATGAACAAGAAAACAAGCATTATTTATTATAAACTTGAAGAACAAAACAAAAAAACGCGCATTTATTAATTATTTTTTTTTGCATGAAAAAATCGTAGTTATGAGATTTATAAAAACAAGAAAAATAAGACAAAAAATAAAAAATAAATAAAAAAAGGACTCATTTCTTACCGACACCTCCACAAATGAATAACATATTATATTTGCCTCCACCATATCTACAATAACCTATCTTCTGATCGTCGATCATTGTAATTGCTTCCACAATTTCGTTTATCGAATTTTTTTCATTGTTGTTATCATCGGTGAATTCCGTCAGATCGATTGGCATTGTTCAATTTAATCACGAAATTTAAAAAAAAAAAAGAAAAATGCAAATTTGACTCATTAATTATTTCTTTTAAACAAAACAAATAAATGCATTAAAATTTGTTGAACAAATAAATAAATAAATAGCTTTTATGTTAAATTTGTTCCATTTGCAATGTTTCCATAATATATATATATATATATATTTTATATTTCACTTTAATAAAGAATCGAAATTTTATATTTGTCAAAATAACTATTAGAGGCTATGAAGGCAATAATACTGTTCAAATTTGATGATAATCGGCATTGGCATTTATCAATATATTTAATGTGTGATTTCTGGGTCATCCGATAGAAAGAATGTTTTAAAATGAATATTCGATATCCAATTTTACAAAACTTTTAATAAATCAAATTATGACAGGGATTTGTTCAAACTTCTTTAAATTTAATCCTTTTTTTTAATAAAAAAGGTTTGATTTGAAGAATAAAAGAAAATTTTTGATTTTATGTGCTAGAATTTAGATTTTGCATTCGAATTTTTAATTTTAATAGAATAAAATGAAATAATGAAGTGATTTGCATCAAACATTTCACCGAAATATTACTTAAGGAAAAAATACTAAGCTAAAAAAATTCCATTAGATAAAATGGCTAAATTTCAATGTCATACAATTGTCATTCGAATTATAGTTCAATCCAAAACCTGTTTTTAATTAATGTTATCAAAAATAACTGGGAAAAATGAGGGAAAATGGGTGAAATGAATTTTATTCCTCAATTTAAACTTTAATCATTTTATATTTTTTATTCTTGTTTTTTCAATAATGCATTCAGGGTATTATTTTACAAAATTTTTTCACATATTAAATTTAAAATGTTGCAAGAGTTTTGAAGAAATGAAATACAAATACTTACAACTAAAATTAACCTAAATTTTATTATGAACAAGGCAACATAAATTAAATTAGAAAAAGAAAGGGAAAAAATAAATTTAAAAAACTTTTAAAATCGAACGAATTGTTAGATCAAAGTTAAAACAAAATGAAATAAGAGCAAAAAAGAATGAGAAATTTTGGGGAAGAAGATTATGAACTGATAAAATTACTTTTATAGTGCACTTTTATTAGCAGAATATTGTAATCAAATTTGATAAATGAACAAGTTTCAATGAAACATGCTGTTAAATAAACAAGAACAAATCAGGCAGGTACTTCATGGTACTTCTTAATACTACTTGTTACAAAAAAAAACAATAATGAAAAATAGAACAAGAAGTAAAAAAAGTAATGAAGAACATTTATGGTCCAGTTTCTCTTCATTTAATCCTACCTTTTC